CTCTCTCTCTCTCTCTCTCTCAAAAGTAAATAAACATTTAAAAAAGAAATATTAAAAAACTGAATCTGACTATGAATTATGTAATAGTATTGTTCAGGAATGATTGCATGTGCTTGTGCATTTGTGTGTGTGTGTGTGTGTGTGTGTGTGTGTGGTGAGAGTCAGACACAGAGCCACAGAGAGAGACAGAGAACAGACAGGCAGAAAGGGGGAAACCAACATGGCAAAATGCTAACAATTGTCAAATCTAGGTAGAGAGTACTTAGCTGTTCATTATACTGCCTTCTCCACTTAATTGAGGGTTTGAAATTTTTCAAAAATAAATGCTGGGAGAAATGAGTTTATATAGAGAAAAATACTATTTTTTGGAGTACCAAAATCTGCAGTGAGTCACTTCTTTAATGCCTAAATGTAAGTGACTCCTGTTTGAAAGGCTGAATATAAGCATAAAGGATAAAAAAAGGAAAAAGGAAAAATAAAACCCATAAAATAGAATGATGAAAGAGTGCAAAAAGTATGCAACCTTTGGGTAACACAAAAGGAAACTAAGAATACATAAATACAATATTTATGCTTGCTTCTGCACTAAGAAAGCAGAAGAAAATGAAAATACAAATGGGGTGAGTGCAAATGGATGGGAGGGATAAATATAGGCATGAGACTTCTCTGAATATATCTTTTTATATAGTTTTGATTTCTGAACCATGGAAATACTTAATATATTAAAAAAAACAGAATAAATACACCTGAAATTGAATATAAATGGAAATAAAAGAATGTCCTCCATAAAATGAATAGCATAACTACTCAGGAAGAAAATTAATTCATATAAATGTTGAACACAATAATCTGTCCATTCTTGGTGGGATCTCTTCTGATGCTAAAAATGCTGCTAAGAAACTTTAGAGGTTGCTCACGGGCATTGCATTCAGTGTGGCAATTCAGACTGTATATTGTGCGCAGGTTTGAATAGAGTTAACACAGCAATGTGTTGGGGCCCAGAGTGTTCACTGTAAGAAAAAAAAAAAAAAGAAGCAATGTGGAACAGGGAAATGTAAAGGAATCTTATGTTTTCCAGTTTCGGTTGGAGTCATTCATAATTTGAAGCTATTAAAGAAGTGAACAAACCAACGTGAATACAAAGTAGATGTTTGCTTGGGGCTGTTAGCAGTGGCATTTAACCCGAAGTGAAATATGTTAGAGAAGATAACAACGTCAACCAAATATGGTCATGTTAAGACCGTGTAAGGCGCAGGGGTGCCTGGTTGGCTCAGTCGGTTGAGCGTTGACTTTTGATCTCAGATCACGCCTTGAGTTTAAGTCGCATGTTGGGCTCTGTGCTAGGTGTGGAGCCTACGTTTAAAAAAAAAAAAGCTTAAGGGCAGATCTTGGAAAATTATAATCAGCAACAATTTTGTCTTGTGAGTCTATAATGAGGGGCCTATTATCTAATTTGCATCAATATCTAATTTATTTGTGTTCAATTATTATGACCTATGAGGCAGGCCAAAATAGTTTTAAAATCTACCATTTCTTGGGATGGACAGCATAGACCATCCAAGCTTTTGCATACTATGAAATAGAAAATTCTAAGCTTCAAGAGTAAAGGAAATTAAGAAAGACAAGTTTTCATAAAATAATGGCTTTCTAAAGAAAAAAAGAAGGTGCTTTCCTTCTGGGTTATGATTTTTCCAGGGATCTTAATTCCTTCTTACGGTTTCAACTTTTTTACTACCTTGGGCCAGTCAAAATGAATTGGGACATATCCATTATCTTGCGCTAAAACACTACTTAAACTCATTCATGTCTGACACAAAAGCTTGAAATGCTCTATCAAGAGAAGATAATTGGCCAAGTTTACGGGGCACATTAGTCACAGAAAATTAGTGGAAAAACAAGTGATTACAGCTACCACTGTGAAATCACATAAATCACAGGAGAAAGAAATCTCAAGAAAACAAGAGTATAGAATGCCATCAAATGGCTCTAAAGTTAAATACGTAATGGATTTTAGGAAAGTTGTCACTTAAAAAAACTATGTATTTCCAGATACATAGGAGTTATAAGAGAGAGGTTTAAACCTCTCTACCTCTTGTGTCAAACAAGCATAGGAAATGCTTCTTATTTATGCCCCAAAACAGATTAGAACTGGAGAATCGTATGCCAACTTTTGTATCTTCTCAAGTATTTCGCCGGTTATGGTTTTGGTGTAAAAGCACTTGGAACAAATAGCGTTTCCAGGCAATGTTTAACTAAATCGACAAACACTATCTTTTCTCGTCCTCACAATAAACCAGCATAACACGTGCTATCAGTGCCTTACCCAAGTAGAAAAACGAGGACATTAAATGAACAGAGAGCTAGGTTTATTATTTCAGACCGAATAAGTTTATTAAGAAAACATAGAAATAGTTCTTGCATGAAAATCGAAACAGAGAATCTGTGACTGCATCAAGGCAAAGAGGAACCACGCAGTGCTCAGGGTGAATTTCAAATGCTCCCACTTTTCATGAGTTGAATATAGGAATGATAACTCTGTATTTGACCAAAAGGGCACCAGAAGGCAAGCCTTCAGCAAAGGTCAGACCGTGTGGGGCTCAGATTTGGTGAATGCCATGTCCAGTTGTAGAGGGTGAGAGTCCCCGACGGTGCCCTTGTTACTAGTAGCCACAGCCAGAGCCACAGCCATAGCAGGAGCCATAGCCGCAGCCCAGGCCTCTGTAGCCACAGCCTCCATAGCCACAGCCTCTGTAGCCACAGCCTTTGTAGCCAGAGCTTCCATAGCCGCAGCCTCCATAGCCACAGCCTCCGTAGCCGCAGCCTCCATAGCCACAGCCTCCATAACCGCAGCCTCTGTAGCCGCAGCCTCCATAGCCACAGCCCCCGTAGCCGCAGCCTCCATAATAGTTTCCGTAGTAGCTTCCACACATGATGTTGGCTGTTGAGGTTGTGCTTGGGTAGAGAAGGAGAGAAGTGTCACTTCACTGTGGACAATTCCCCCTCCAGAGGGCCTTTTTATATGCTCTCAATGTGGGTGTCACCCGCCATATATATCATGCCACTGGCTAATTTTATGACTAATCTAATTAGTCTGTTGTTCCTCTACCATAAAATAACTCTTGGCGGTGTTTGGGAGGCTTGTTGTGTTTGGCTCTCAGTTTGGACTCTCCTTATCCAATTGAAGGCTTCAAAGAGAGGAGATACACCCTCACACCAACGCAGTGTTGTCCCAAATTAGACTTTCATTTCAGCTTCATATAACAATCCTTTATGTCAAGAAAGAATACATTTATTAGTCTCAATCTTCTTTGCTCTTGGCATTGGTTGGTTGCACTAACATTTTTAACATTTCATAAGAACCAAATTACTTTTGACTCATCAGTTTTTCTTTTTCTAAAGAAATAAGGTTTATTTATTCATTTTGAGAAAGAGAGAGCAGTGCGGTCAGGGAAGGAGCAGAGAGAGAGAGAGAGAGGGAGAGAGAGAACCCCAAGCAGGCCCTGTGCTGTCAGCGCAGTGCCCGATGCAGGGCTTGAACCCACGAAATGTGAGATTGTGACCTGAGCCGAAACCAAGTTGGATGCTTAACCGATGGTGCCCCATCTTCTTTTGATCCAAGTTAATTGTTTTCTTCAGGGTTTCAGCTCATTTTCTATACTAAAACCATAATGTAACTTTCATCCTCATGATATTGATAATAATCTAGTTAAATTTTTCAAAATACCAAGTCTGAGCAAAATGTATTACACTTTTCTATGTATACCAATAGGTCTGATTCTCACTTATGTTCAGTCTCTACCTAAGAACTACAAGACAGATGTTATCCCTTGGAATCCAATTGCTCTGCTTTTTCCCCTCTAAATCAGGCACAAAATTATACAAATTAGTATTCTCATTAATATTAGAATTATATTCTAAGTAACTATCCAACAGGTTTAACATCACGTATTTATGTTTATCAGTGTATCACACAGAGGTCCGTTCCTTTAGCAAAACACCCAATCATTATTCTCTTTGTAACCAATCATATTGTGTTCTCTTGCATAACCTTGGCATTTTTATTAGTCTTTATTCAAATTAATGTGATAATGCCTCCCATTGGGAGGCACAGGAAAAGTGAGAATAGCTTCACATGACAGACTTTACAAGAATGAATTTGGGGAGGTGTCATTACCCACACATCATGTGTAATCTGTCAGTGTATTTCTGTTATTGTATTGATATTTCTGAGTCAAACTATTATTTTTATGTATCCCCTCATAACCATAGGTGGGGACAGAGAGAATAAGCAGTTGGACACTCTCTGTATTTTAGTTAACTCTTCTCCAGAGATCATAAGAATGAAGACACAAGATTTAAAACTTTTCCAATCCATCTGTCCTTTTAAGTGTATCTAATGAGTCAATGCCTCTTAATAAAATAGAACGTTTTCAGGGGCACCTGGGTGGCTCAGTCGGTTAAGTGTCTGACTTCGGCTCAGGTCATGATCTCAAGGTTCCTGAGTTCCCACATCGTGTTCTTTAGTACAGGACCCGCTTCAAATTCTCTCTTCCCTTCCCTCCACTCATGCATTCTCTCTCTCTCTCTCTCAAAAATAATTAAACATTAAAAAAAATAGACTGTTTTCATACTAAGGATCCTATGAAACACATTCAACCTGTAATTTAATGTGTGTGTTTGAATGTTCTTTCCATGCATGTCTTTTGGTAGCTTCATTTTTATGAAATAGACATATTATTGGGTCATTTTATTCACCATGTACTGGGTTGAGATATTACAAGGAGAGGACATTTTCACTATATCATTTTCAAATTTTTCATAAGGAAAATAAAAGTAACTTCAACTGTCACAGTGCAGTCAATCAAGTAATAACTTAGAATAAGTTTTCAAATAAAAACTAATTTAAATAACGTGATGATCAGTCTTCCTCGAGGCTAAGTTCTTAGAACATCACCTGAAATTTGTATTGCTAAATGGTAACAGTCAACTTAAAAAAAAAAAAAAAAACCTATAATTAACTTTAAAAAAAATTTTTGGTATTTGATTAATGTAGCTGCAAAAGACATTACTGTTCTGTGCAATACAATGTCTCTAATGACAACATTCACTAGGTTATTTCTCTATAGAATTTACTTCCTGGAGCTAATTTGTTTCTTCTGGAGAACTGAGTTCTTTCTCTGATGATAGCAGTAAGAGCTTGCCAGCCCAGTGAGATTCCGTTGACAATTTGTTTTCTGCTGTGATTTTCTGAACTATGTTTGGTTCTTAAGTACATCCCATAATCAAAAACAGAGTAAAAGAACGGTCCTTGCGTCCTCCTTTGCAGCTAATATCCAATTTTCTTCTGTTTCATTGCAAACCTTCACACGTGTTTCCATCGTAGCTTTCTGTTCTCTCTTTACATCTTTGATCACACCTTTTGGTCTTTGGTCCTTACCACGCCCCACTAAAACCGCCCCTGAATGTCTCACCAACACCCCAATCTTGTCACATCTAGAGATTCAGCCTTCTTCATTTTACTAAGTCTCTGAGAAGTGTTCAGATTCACCCGTTTCTCTTTTCCTTCCTGAAAGGCTCCCCGACACTTACCTACATCCTACCACACACATTTGATTTAATTTCAGTATCTCCAGTTGCTCCCTCTTAGTATTTTTTTTTTCTTTTCTCTTTTTCAGATTTTGTTTTCAAATATGAAGGTGCCCAGCTAGGCGCTTGACCCTCTTATAGTTTCTATAGAAATTCTCTTTTTGTAAAAAAAAAAAATTAATGTTTATTTAGTTTTGAGTTGAGAGAGAGAGACAGAGCGTGAGCTAAGGAGGGGCAGAGAGAGAGGGAGGCACAGAAACCGAAGCAGGCTCCAGGCTCTGAGCTCTGAGCACAGAGCTCAGCACAGAGCCCCACACAGGGCTCGAACTCACAAACCACGAGATCATGACCTGAGCCGTAGTTGGATGATCAACCGCCTGAGCCACCCAGGTGCCCCAGAAATTCTCTTTTTCTAAATTAAGTTTTTAATTTTAATTCTGGTGTAGATAACATACAGTGTTATTTTGGTTTTAGGTATACAATATAGTATGTAAGCTCTCTTAAAGGATTATTTTACATACATTATTTTAGCCAATTGATCTCATTTCACATTTCCAAGTCTGACACATATCCAAATGATCACTTGACATCCCTCAAGAATTTAATAAAGTGAAACTAAGTTCTTGATTCTTCATACCCCCCACAAATCTTTTTTTGCCACATCTTCTCCACAAGTTTTCCATCCTTCTCTACCTCTGTGAAACCATACTTTTGTTTCCAAAGGTGCATATTTGCAGATGGGAAGGAGGATCTTATTAAAGAAAAAAAAAAGAATTTTGAAGAAGTGAAATCTGTATGGGTTATGTGATCTCGTGGTAGTTAGTAATATACTTTAGATCTCACATCTGGAACAAACAAGTCACCACAATAGGTGAAAAAACTTTCGTTAAAACACATGATTTCATTACAGGCATCCTGACACATGGCAAAATTGTGTTATAGATATATTGGTTACACGGAATTCTTGAGATGATTATAATGCCACTTAGTTTGAAACATGAATCCAATAGCTTGTGGTTTGCCCCATATATCACTCAATTGACATATAAGGCCCCTGTAGATTATAAACTTAACACCCCAGAAAACGATTCTTCTCTTCATCTGAGCCTTCTCCTCACACTATGAACTTCTACAACAATTACTATGGTGGCCTGGGCTATGGCTATAGTGGCCTGAGATGTGGCTACGGATGTGGCTATCGTGGCTATGTATATGCCTGTTATCGTCCATGCTGCTATGGTGGATATTGGTATTCTGGATTCTTCTGATAAATTCTAGATTGCTAATCTATTTAGGAAATTTTCCCATGAGGTACTATATGTACCTCCTTTATTATGTATAATAGACATGTTACTTACTGTCTGTTCAAATAGTGACAATCGAATCTTAGACTACCATGTAACATCAGAACTTTTTTGATTGAAATCACTGGAGTTTTCAACAATTTATAAATGTATTCATTTGATCTTATATTATTTTATGATCGAACACAAATAATCTTCACCATTTCCATTTGGGAAAATGTCTAAATTCAGTTTTCATTAAAAGCAATCTGTTTTGCATACCTACAACATTTTTGCGTATATTTATTTACCTAGGTTTCGTGTGTGTGTGTGTGTGTGTGTGTGTGTGTGTGATTGTTGACCATTTGGATACCTTTAGTTTGTAAGTTAGAGGTGTGGTTGAATAACTACATTCAACCACTGCTTTTATTTTTATTTTTATTTTTTAAAATTCTGATACAGTTAACATACAGTATTATATTAGTTTCAGTTGAACAATATAGTGAGTCAACAATTCCTTACCACCTACTTTTCATCAGGACAAGTATACTCCTTAATCCTCACCACCTATTTCAAGCATCCCCCCACACCTCCCCTCTGATAACCATCAGTTTGTTTTTCACAGTTAAGAGTCTTTCTTGGCTTCTCTCTCTCTTTTCCCTTTGCTCATTTGTTTTGTTTCTTAAATTCCACATATGAACGATATCTTATAGTATTTGTCTTTCTCTTAGACTTATTTTAATTAGTACTATACTCTCTAGGTCCATCCATGTTGTTGCAAATGGCAAGATTTCATTCTTTTTTATGGCTTAATAATATTCCCTGGTATATACATGCCACATCTTCTTCATCCATTCTTCTATTGATGAACATTTGGGATGCTTCCATAATTTGGCTATTGTAAACAATGCTGCAATAAAAATAAGGGTTAATTATCTTTTTGAATGCATGTTTTCATATTCTTTGGGTGAATTCCTAGTAGCAGAATTACTGGATCATATGGTAGTTCTATTTGTAATTTTTTGAGGAACCTCCATAATGTTTTCCACAGTGGCTGTGCCATTTTGCATTCCCAACAAGAGTGCATTAAGTTTCCTTTTTCTCCACATCTTCACCAACACTTGCTGTTTCTTGTGTTTTTTATTTTAGCCATTCTGACAGGTGTGAAGTAATATCTTACTGTGGTTTTGATTTGCATTTTCCTGATGATCAGTGAGAATAAGCATCCTTTCATGTGTCTGTTGTCCATTTGAATGTCTTCTTGGGAGAAATGTCTGTTCATGTCTTCTGCCCATTTTTAAATTGGATTGTTAGTTTGTTGTTGAGTTGTGTCAGTTCTTTATATATTTTGGATACTAACCCTTTATTGGATATGTCATTTGCAAATATCTTCTCTCATTCAGTAGGCTGTCTTTTAGTTTTTGTTTTGATTGCTTCCTTTGCTGTGCAGAAGCTTTTCATTTTGATATTGTGCTAAGGTTTATTTTCACTTTTGTTTCCCTTGCCTCAGGAGACACATCTAGAAAAATCTTGGTACAGCTAATGTCAAAGAGATTACTGCCTGTGCTATCTTCTAGGATTTTTTATTTCAGATATTCACATTTAGATCCTTAATTCATTTTGAGTTTATTTTTGTGTATGGTGTAAGAAAGTGGTCCAGTTTCATTATTTTGTATGTAGCTGATCAGTTTTCTCAACACCATGTGTTGAAGAGACTGTCTTTTTACAAATGTATATTCTTTCCTCTTTTGTCAAATATTAACTGACCATATAATCATGAGTTTATTTCTGGGACTTCTATTCTGGTCTATTGATTTATGTGTCTATTTTTGTGCCAGTATCATACTGTTTTAATCATTACAGGTTGATAATATAACTTGAAATCTGGAAATGTGATACCTCCAGTTTTGTTTTTCTTTTTCAAGATTGCTTTGGCTATTCAGGGTCTTTTGTGGTTCCATATTAATTTTAGGATTATTTGTTCTAGTTCTATGACAAATACTGAGGAAGATATAGAATCAGTGAAACTTTCAAGGGGTCAATCTCTGCTTGCCTCTTGGAAAGAGACCTATTTCATGACACGGCAGTGGCTTGTGTGGACTACATATTATGTAAACATAAGTCTGATCCAAGATACAGGATGCAAAGTGTATCCTTGATCCTGGTAGTCTGTTCAGTAAACGTGTTTATGGTAACTTCTTTTAATTCACTAGATTTATTATTATTATTAATAACAATGTCAACGATAATAAAATATGAATCAACAGTATCTATTAATATTTCAAGAAGTAACACTGGAATTTTGTAAAATGAAGACTGACCATGGGTCCACACAAAATTACTTTCTGAATAGAGATGAAAATATGAGGCTGACCAAAATCTTATCCTGCCCCCAAACGCATGTTTTCTAAAAGCATCTAAAGAAGAGAATTAGGTAGCTATGTCTTCCTCCATCAGCTGAAGATAGCACGTGGGACTATGTATGATTTCAATCATCTTAAATTCATTGGCTCTTGTTTATGACCTAGCATGTGATCTATCTTGGAGAACATTCTATACGTGTACTTGAAAGAAATTTGTGTTTTCTTGGAGTTGGGTAAATGCTCTCTAGAAGGGTGTTAGGTCTAGTTGGTTTATAGTGTTTTTTTCTTTTTCAAGTTTGTACACTTTATAATCTTTTATGTAGTTGTTATAGCCTTTATGCAAAGTGAGATATTGACATCTTCAGTTATTATTATTACAGTCTCCCTTTTCCTTTCAATTCTGTCAATTTTTTTTTTACTTTAGCGCTCCATTTTTAGCACCAGGTGGATTTAACACCAGTACATATGCTGTATCTTCCTGATAGATTACTCTACTTATCTTTGCAAAATGTCTCTCTTTATCGCTATTAAATTTTTTTTGGCTTTAAAGTATATTTAATCTGATATTGTTATAACCATTCCAGCTTTCTTACTAGTTGTTATTTGCATAATATGTACGTATATTCCTATTTTACTTTCAAGTCATTCGTTTCAAGAGGATTTGATTGTTAAGACATTTTACGACGGTTACTTTAAAATTTGTTCATATAATTGGAAAACCTGATAGTGTTAGGGTCAGTTAATTATCTTTTCTCATCTGTGTTATAATTTTCTTGTTTCTTGGTGTGACGGTATGGTGGTAATTTTGTGTATTAAAAGCATCCTGATCCTATTAAAAGTGTTTTTTCAAAAGCAGGTAGTCACCCTGTTTAGGTTAAGCACATGGGTCTTGTGGGCTATGATTCATTATTTTCAGAGTTGCTGCGGTGTTATTTTGGTCTGTTTGGTTTATCTTGCACTGCCGGTTGTCCCACTGGCCCCTGCCATTGCTACCTGAAAGTGTGGAAGGAGTTTTGCCAGCTTATCCGCTGTGTGTCTCTTGGTGGAGCAGTGACATGGTGGGAATCCCCACTTACCTCCCTCACTGCCTAGAGGTCTTTTGAAAGGAGCATGAGAGCCTCAGGTATATGAGGACAGAGTCTTCCTGGATTAGGAAATAACTCCCATTAAATAACATATAGATGGAAAGAAACTCACATAAGAAGTTCGAAGATATTTTGAGTTGATTAATAAAGAAGTACAACATACCAAATGTGTGGCTTACCATCGAAAAAGTTATTAGA